TGCCATCTTTCCCTTGCCCAAAGAAGTCATGAGTAGAAATCCTAACCCCTGAGATGATAATTTTAGCAGGTGAGGCCTTTGAGGTGATTAGTTCATGAGCAGGATTCTTGCTTTTATAAAAGAGGCCACAGAAAGCAGCCTGACTCTTCCACAAGTGAGGACACTGAGGGTGTCTTTGATGAGGACGCATTCTCTTACCAGACGTTCAAATCTGCCAGTACCTTGATCCTGGACTCTCCGGCCTTCAGAACTGTGTGGAATGAATGTTTGTTGTTTACAACCAGCAGTTTATGGTTAGAGTTTTGTTACAGTAGGCCGAATGGACTAAGTCAACTTCTTTCTGCTAACCTAAAAGCATCAAGGAAGGAAACCTGTTTCATCACCAATGAGCAAAGCACAATGCATGACTCATACAGAATTCCTACAGCAGATTTGTGTCTGAATGCCTATTTATCCCATGGTGCTTCTCCAGACAGGAATTCTAACATCTAGAATTCTGTATAAATGGTAACTTAGCATGCCATTATGCTGGACATATAGTAAGTTTTCATTAGAAATGGATGATTAAATGTAGTCATGAGGCACATATCAAATTCCATTCCCAAGTAGTAAGTAACATAGGTTGATGCCAAAGGAATCTATTGCACTAATATTTTGACTGAAAAAAAATTTTTTTTAAATGCAGAAAATTTAGATTGCACAAGCTTGTGTGGGAATGAAAATGAGTCAGCTGGCAAAAGATAAAAAATTGCTTCAGACACTTACCTGAATTTGGACCAGAATCTGTTTTATTTCTGTACTAAAACACAGTTTAAAATAATGATGAATCATATTAAGCACTACATACCAAAATACTAGGGAATGCTGATACATGTATGTTTCTAAGAACAATAGAGTGACTTTACATTAAACCTGTCACTGCAAGTTTGCCATACAATATTTTTCTAACTATATTTCTCATGAAGTAATACCATCTGAAATCTTTCATAGTCATGCTTGACTTCTTGAAAGGATTCCAGACCTTGGTTCTCTAACTGAATATGTAGAGAACCAAATTTACTGCAATCTCCTTTTCATTCTTTTGTTTTAACTGGATTATTAGATAGGGACAAGGGAATATCACAAGGGAATCCTGAGGAAAAGAACTGTCTCCTACAATAACAAGTTTGTTTAGATGTGTTGAACCAGTAAGCAAAGTTAAACACCTTCTTTATTGCTGTTTTTAACTGCCTCATTAATATGTTAATGTGTATTGTGTAAGGCCTCGGGGAAGCCTGCTTAGCACTCCATCTTATTTTTCTAGGAATTCTTTGTTCTGGGGATTCAGATTAGCACCTCTCTACAGGACACAATTTGGGAAAGGCTGCTTAATTACAAAGGCAAGTCTTGAATCCTAGAATCCTGTCTGGAAAACAAACAAACAAACATTTAAAAAGAGAAGAACTAGGCAGGTCCTCAAAACACTGCATTAGATGCATTAGATTTGCTTTTTCCCTACAGACTATTTCTGGATAGAGGTGTTTTTTTGTTGTTGTTGTTGTTTGTTTGTTTTTGTTTTTGTTTTGTTTTAAGAACAGCAAGAAGAGCACACTTTCTACTAGGAAGGAGGAAGAGGAAGAGGAGAAAAAGAAGGAGGAGAAGGAAGGAAGAAGATTTTAATGTAATGAAAATTTTGCTGAAAAATAAAGAAAAAAACTAAAGACATAAATGGCTTACTATTTTATGAATTTCAGAAACTTGGAAATGAAGTTACATTTTTTTTTCTTCAGTTAAAATTTGTCCTTGTTATGTCAAAGCCAGTTGAGGGATTTCCTAACAAAAGCATTAGATCCTTCTCTGAATGTGTGCACTATGGATTTGGTTCAGCCAGACTTAGGTTTGAATCTGTTTTTGTTTCTGATTGTTGTTGCTCTCTTTTTATTATCTCACTAAAATGATCCATCCATCTTCCATGTTTGTTATCATTACATGTGATAATGTTTGCAAAGTCCCCTTTCAGCACTCAACAAATGTGATTTCCTTTCTGTCCCACTCAACCTCTTAAGTCTATCTAGGGTTTTTCTTCACTTGCAACTGCCTTACTCTGCCCCATTTTGATGACTATTAATAAGAATTTGTAGGAAATCCCTTTATATAACCCCCATGCTTCTGCTGTAAATATTTGCCCCTTTTCCATTCCAAGAAGGTAAACACATTTTGAAGTTCTGTTTACTGACTTTCTTGGTACAGAGTGGAAAGAAAAAAAAGTTACCAGATATTCAGAAGATACCTTTTGTGTTTTTGTTTTTAAAAACCTGGAATGAAAAGGTGGCGTCTACTCTTGGGCTTTGTTTAGGAGGAATAAAGTTGGTGGGATGGGAGAGGAGGCTGTTTTAGAGAGAAGCAGGTAAAGAAGCCTGAACTGAGAGATGAATGAATTTGGAGGTGACACATTTAGGTGCAAATGATTTTCCACATCTATAGCTCCTTATTACTCATATTGGTTCTTGTGAACCTATAACAGCCTGTAGTATCATCAACAATTCCCAGAAAGGAACAGAAATAAAGATTAGAAGTTCTGGGTTTTTATGCTCCTAGGAAGCTGCTGAAATTGTTTGCTCTGTGGTGAGACTGATGCCATTAAAAGTACTGCTTCTGTCATGGTGGTTACCTTTAAAATGGGCTCTACCTCCAAGGTAAGTTCAGGTATAAAGGAGAGCACTGAATCAGCTAGAAGGAAAATGAGGGTTTCAGAATACACGTTCTATATATCCCTGGGGGAAACACTTTGATTTTGGAAACCCGAAAGGAAACAATGGGAACTGGAAGTGACTTCAATTCTATTTCAGTTGGAAGCTTAACAGCAATTCACAAAAGGCTAACTATGGCTTTACAGGATTCCTATTAGATTTACTATAGTTGCAAATGTTCTGAAACATCATACTCCAGAATAATAGACATTAATTTTTCTCATATGAATCATTTCTTTAAAAGAAAGGGTATGCAAAAAGGGTTTTAACACTTAATCTGGGGCAAATCCCAGCTTTGATACACATTAGATCTGCACCTTTGGATTCATTATGTAACTTCTCTGAATCTTCAATTCCTTATCTGGTAAATAGGGATAGTGGTAGGTAGCCCACAGGGTTTCTGCATGTACTAAACAATATAATCTATATGAAATCCCTTAGTACTTGACAGAAATATAAAAAGTGGGAGCACACATTTGAGTGTATCCAATACCCGCCCACCTTGCACTCCCCCCCCTCCTGTGTTTGTTCAGGTGTAAAGGCAGAAAGATGGGAGAGGTCCAGATATGCATAGGGAAATCACCAGCACCAACTTTGTAATCCATCAGTGTTTCTCAGCCTGATAAGTCACCTTCAAAAATAGCCTCATCTTAACATGATAATTCCCTGAAAGTATAGAAGTGGATGAGTTCCTTTAATTCTGAGGTAAAATATAATAGAAAACTCCAAGCATGGTCACTGTCAAGGTTCTGATGCTAATGGCACACAGGCCCCCTTGACAAAATCAGTTTTGTCACAACTCCCCCCACCCCCGCCAAAAAAGATTGATAGGCGTCGAATCAGCTAGGAAAGCAGTCCAGGCTTCTCACCCTTCCCATAATTGAATAATAGCTTTGAGCAAGCTGCTCTATGATGCAGCCATTTTGGAGACTGTCCTACACAGCCCCTACCATCTGTAATTATGCATTGGAGCAGCTCAGCTACTAGAGCTCAGAGACAGCTAAGAGATCTTGGGTCCTTTTGCCCTTTTCCTCTCTCCTAGGTTGCTTGTTGAATTGAGGTCAAACTGTAAGGATGAAACTTAAAGAACTTTAATTAGGTTCTTCATATTCAAACCCCAACCTTGAACATTTGATAACAATCACTAAATTGCCCTCCAAAAGGAAGTACCACTTCAAGCTTCCATATATAGTTCCCTTACACCTTTTAACAAAATTGGTCTTCATTAATGTTTTCAGTTTTTGACAATCTTGTTTCTAATTATTGTTTACTTTTACTCAATGGTGTTATTATAAAAGGACATTGAGATTTTTTGCACATGCTTGTGAACTATTTGTATTAATGCTGTGAATCACTTTTTAAAGTCTGTGTCTTATTTTAAAATGGGTTACTTTTTTTATAACTCCATAGTAATTTATATCTATTTTGCATATTAATCTATTTTTAAAAACTTGGAATTGTTTTCTGTCAATTGTCTTAATTATGGCTTCCACCACACAAATGTTCTTGCACCATACAGATATTCCACTTGCTTATGTGCTTGGGATGTGCTTATCTTTGCTCCCATCCTCCAGCCTGTGAAAGGAGAGTAAATATGGTCCCTGAGATTGAGCTAAGACCTTTGAAAACCTGCAGGGACTGGTAGAATACAGCAACTCCAACATTTATGAAGTAAAATAATAATAATAATAATAAACTTATTCATAGAATTGAATTCCTTTATGGTGCAATGGAAATGCTGGGAGAATCATCACAATGAATATTTACATATGCGAAAATATAGCTGAGTTCCTTCTCTGATTGTGGAGAAGTATGATGCTGTTTGAAAGGATGAAAGTGCTTTTTGTTAATATAATAGTTTTTCCACAGTGTAGGCAGAGTCATAGCCCTAAGTTAGAAATTAGACTGCTTGGGCACCTGTTCTTTAAATGTTTACTTACAGGAGAGAAAAATCTAAACAGACTGGAAGACTCAGCTGGTGGGATCAACACTTTGAGTTGGAGAAAGGATTGTGTGTAAAAAGGATTAGCTTAGTCAAGCTCAGTCTTGATCTAGATATTGTTTAGAACTTAATTCAAGCATTGAGAAATGTTAAATAAAATAAAACCTAAAAAATATGATTAACTTCTAAGAGGGTATTGTAAGAAAGTATTCTTGTCACATTATGGCTATCTCCAGTTCTGTGTTTCACTAACTATGATCTGATAGGATTTCCTGTTGAGAGTATACCCTTACAAGTAGGTCTCCCCTACAAAAAGTAGACATTCTTACCATCCATTCTTCATGGAAAGGCTGTACTTGAAACAGAACATGAGAGTCTGGAAGGCAGTCACCCCCAGGAAGCTGAGGAAGAAATACTACATTCCTGGGCCTTCCTGTAGATGGTATTCTGTAAGTGCTGAAAGACCTGCCAAGGTAGTAAAGGGAATTTGGCTTCTACCTTTTTCTAGGTATGCAAGGTCACATCTCAAGAAATAGTATTTTATTTCAAAAAGATTGTATCATCCATAATCAAAAAATGAGCCTTGCAAACAAGGCCAGGCCTATATTTACACAGCTTAAATATTGTGGCCTCAGAAGCTTTGAAATTTTTTTGCATGTCCCAAGTATTCTCCCCATCTACATGGCTTATCCTTCTTGCCTTACTGGAATAAATGTACAAAAAGCCCAAGTAAAAATATATTTATGGGGTGAAAACATTTGCCCCAAAACAACTACCAAAAACACTATTAAAGAGAGGGCTAACAACATATAAACCCATCACACACTTAATCCTTTGTCAAATTCCACAGGAATACCAAATATCTTCATAGTTGTAACCATGTGCTTATACAATATTTTCAATTTAAAATTTTTCTAAAAAAAATTTTGCATAGATCCAAAGCCCCTGCCATAGAACGTTAAGTAGTAATATTCCAGAAGAAAAACTGATTTTGGTCTCCAGCGCTTGCATTGAATCACAGCTCCAATTCTTCATTTCTACAAGGAAATTACTCTGACTTCCAGGGTGGGTCAGAGAAACAGACATGATATGTGCAGGGCAGCTGACTCATGGTGAGCAACAACCCATAGTTCACTAATAATTCTTTGTATTACTTTAAAAGTCTACATTTTACTTCCTGAACTGGTGGTTTTTGTGAAAAACATCGTGTCCAGTATTCTTTCTGAGGCAGTCAAGGAACACCATGACGGAATAAAAGGCTGGGGCAAGGAAATAAACCCCTGGGTACAATAAATTATTAACATTAGTAGCATGGCATGTTGTTTCTCTATCTTGGTGCTCTTTAAACAGACCTGTCATGAGACCCTGATAAAACCACAGAAACACATGCTTGCACAAGATGAAAGTTACTGAGGGGGTAAAAGTAAACACACCCTTTAGCTTTACTTGATCTTAGTCAACTTTTGGAGGCCACATAGCTGAACAATACATTATTAGTTTCCCACCAGCTCTGCTATAGGTAACATTTCTGATGTGTGGGTATAATGCTAATGGTTATCTACATTCCTTTTCAGGGACTTGAAGGCCACTTCTGGCAGGAACACTCACTGGACTTGGGCTTTCAGATGTCTGATGACTAGAACAGGATGAAAAAGTTTGGCATCTCTCTCTTCATTTCATTTCATTTCATTTTGCTGCCTTAACTTTTGGGTCAGATTCACTCAGCTCTGCATGTCTGGATCAACTGTTGGAGCTAGTATATTTTTCTTCTACCTCATGTTTGCTGCTTTTTCAGTAGCTACAGCAAGCAGCCCAAGCATCTAAAGTCTTTCAGCCCTATCTTAAGGCCCAGACAGAGCCATAAGGCCAGGATGTTTGCACAGGATGATGGTACCAATTGCAAGAGCAACTCAGAAGTTCCTGGGAAAAGTTGATTATGATTTCCTCATGGTCCAAGTATCATCCAAGAAGAAACATCTTCTGAAGCAGTGCCCTGGTCAGTGGAAAACTACTAGACTTTTGCCCACCACCAAGCAAATCAATAAAAAGCTTACATCTTCCTTTGTTCAGGAAGGTAGCCTGCTCTTCTTTCTACTGAATTTCCAATGAAATCTTCTTCAAGGTACACATTCACATTCACTTGGCTCAGTTTCATTTCTGTCAATGAGTTAGAGGTTGTCTTCTCCAGTAACATTTCCATCATTGTGTTTCAGCCCTAAGGAACAAACCCTGAGATAGATAAATTGTCTCACTTCACCACTGTCAAAAAGGAAGGATACTGAAGGGAAGTCATTTACCTAAGGTCACACAGCAAGCCACCAGGTGAGGCAGCATTTGAACCAGTTTGGGAGAACAGTTGCCACTGCAGCCCACCTGAGGACATCTAAGAACAGTGGAAGGCCCCTCTCCTCAGCCCGTTTCTTCAAAAAGTCTAGGAAGGCAGGGATGAGGTGGAATACAGGTTTAATTTTGAATATCATGAACAATAGAAGGACAATAAGAAACTCAAAAGAAATAAAGAGCAAAATATAACTGAAAAAAAAATCAGCCAGATGAACAAATTCCCTAAACCTCTTTAATTACTGCGATGTCCCAAGAGCCATGTTTAAAGTTACAAAATCTGTGTGGTATGTCAAAGGCAATTTGTAGAAAGGGCAAAGAATAATTATCTGAGCCCTTTTAGTGTTTTGATTAGAAAAATTGGGGAAATAACAAGAGCTACCTCCAAGGACTGTTTTTATAATTAAAGAAAATACCAGAAGGGCTATGACAGGTGAAGGACTTTGTTCCAGTGTGTAGCACACTGTCAGCTTTGACTTACACCCCATCTTCTAAGTGCAGTGGCAATACTCTCTTGAGGTCACTTGACTGCATGTGATTATGTGCCCAGTGCCCAAAGGCTGGAGCTATGAACTCAACATTTGCTAGACAATGAGTTATTTGACAAACACTGAAATTTAAAAAGCATTCAGAGCCGTCCAAGTGTGAGGACATTATTAACATAGACTCTTCCCCCTAGGAGGGCTACTTTAACAAGAAAAAGGGAAAAGAAAAAAAAAAGTACATCCCATTTTCGTTCTTTTGCCTGAAATAACAGCTCCAAAGAGCAGAGCCTGGGAATTCCGGGGCTCTCTAAACACACTTCCCCTTCTGCTAGGGACCAAACTACCTATCGCGCCTCAAGTAACAGTGCAGGGTGCGACAAGCCTCACTGTTTTATTTCTGCGGAGAGCCAGGCCGGCGGGGAAGGGGAGTACCCGACCGCCCCTCACTTTCGCTCCTACAGCTTTCCAAACAAACCAGGGCGGGATGGGAGTGTCTTCTTGGCTGTGGAAGCCGGTCCTCCTACCTTGTCCTGAAGCCACCCGCCGCCTTTCGCCCGCCCTCCCTTCGCGGTGATTTTCCTGTACATGACGCCCGAAGAGGGCGCGCGGCTGTTATCCGCCCCGCCGGAAAGGTAGGGGCTCCGCTGCGCTCCAGCCTCGCCGCCTCCGGGAACGGGGAGCCCCGCAGCTTCTATCTGTACTGCACCTTTCTTCTCGAACTTGGTGGCGACCACCGCGGAGCAGGAGGCGTTTCCTGCGGCTCCCAAGGCGCTCGGCGCAGTCGCTGGGGATCCAGACCCGGGCGCGGCGGGCAGCGCGCGGGCTGGCGGGCGCCTCCGACTCCGGGCGGCGCTGCGCCCTCTCCAGCTCCCCCGCCAGGGCTGGGGGGAAGAATCGTGCCCGCGCCACCTTCCTCCGGTTTCCGCCAGCCCAGGGCTTGGGGACCCGATGCGGCAGGCGCCGCCGGAGAGGCAGCAGTCTGCTGGAGCGAGCGGCGCAGGCAGGCGGAGAGCAGCGGGCCCGGCCCTGGGTCCCCGCACGCCTCTGCGGTCGTCGCGCCTGGGCCTTGGCGGGTAACACTCTGGCTGGCTTCTCTGAAGGAGGTTGGTGATGCGGGAAGTCTGCCTTCTGGAACCGGGTCGTGGAGGCCTGGGGTCTGAGTGGCCGGGCTTTAGAGCCCCTGAGATTGAGGATTGGGGGTGAGGGACACGATGCGCTGTCCGCCCCTCAACACATCCTGCCAGCTTCGGGGCGCGTTGCAGGCGCTGGCGTCATGGAGTCGGGGGGCTCTAGGACCCCTGAGCCAGCCGTGGTGTGCGGGGGCGACAGCTAGGAGACTGCCCGGAGGTCCAGGAGCTGCCAGGGAGGATCAGACAGACAAATAGCCCCTGCGGCCGGACCAAGGGGCAGTGGGAAGCTAAAAGGACTCGCACTGGGATCCTTTATTCAAACGCAGGCCAGATTGTGCACTGAGAAGCCAAAGAAGGTGCTCGATTTCACGTTCACTATTGTTTTCTTGTAAAAGGGTCTGGACGCGAGGTGGGGCAATGGGTCTGGAAGGTTCTCGTCTTTTATCTTGGAAAGTTTTCTGAGAAACCCTTCTTCCCGCCACAAGAGACCTAAACCTAACAAAACAAGCACAGAGGTAGTTTGGGGCAAAAGGGCAGCAGTGAGAAAATTGCAGTATTTGGTCTGCCGTTAATTTTCAAGATAAGGGAGAAGAAACTTGTCATTTTGCGGTTGTTGGCTCCGGAGCTCCTGGCGACTCAGCCCCTTTCTTGTGTGCTGTTATTTTGGCCTAAAAGAGAATCTATAAAAAGCCATTTCCAGTAACCAAAAACAAACCCAAAGCGCCTTCTTTTAGTATTTTCAGCGGTGCAGGGTTGCCGGTAGTGAGAAGAGAACAAGCTGGGGTGGGGCTGCTGTTCAAAGGTAATGTTTGAAAATTGTGTGGGGTGGGGATGGGAAAGACATAATGATTGCTAGCGATTCAGAAGCCACACGGATTCTAAAGCCACAAGTCATATTTGCAGTAAGAGGACCACCTCAGTACTATGTAGGTAGATGGCTAAGGAAACCATCTCTGCAGAGCAGCTGGAAGCCCTTCTTTCTCTGTTCCTGGTGTCCACACTGACCTTCAGAAGGCCTAACTCCATCAGATCTCAGATGGTCTCCTCTATTATGCTATCCAGAATATTTGCCTTTTCTGTCTTCAGACTTCTTTCCCTAGTTGCAGATCATGAAATTGTCTTTTTTACATGGAGATATTAAATATTTGGGAAGATCTGATCAGGGTGCCAGGTTATTTTCCGTCTGAAAGCATGCAATTCAGCATCTGTAAATCGATTTGTATTGCTTCATTTTATGCTCACTAAGGACTGCTTTTCAAATCGAGATCTCCAAAAATGCCCCCTCTTTTTTTTTTTTTTAAATATTACTGACTGCCTCTGAGGCACTTTAGATAATGGCAACTTTATGAGAACTTTTCTAGAAAGTGTTTATATTGTCCTGATCTGTCTTCCTAAACTGTCCTTACTATAATGTGGGAAAGGAGATGTGGTTATTCATTGCCTGACAATGTATTCCTTGAAAAACTACTTTTACATGGTCACTGAATGTCAGTCCCAGATTGTACTATGTCTTGATTTAGTGGTGCAATTAAATGTGGCTGCAATTTTAATAACACTTAAGTAGATTTAGTGAAGATATTCAATTTGTTATTGTATCCCAAATCAATAAAAAATCTTTTGAGACTCAGAGAGAATAGACGTATTGGCAGAAGAATACCATTAGGAGACATACCCTTAAAATACTTTTTTTGTGTGAAATTATAGTTTTCAAGTTTCTGATTCTGGAGCTCAGTGGCAGAGGACTGAATTTAATAACCATTTTCTTCTGTTGGAGATAATTTCTGTGTTTCACATCATGGAACAGAAATGAATAATGGTATGCTTCCTGCTTTTCCCTGATAAGCATCATGGGTTAATCGTCTAGCCTGCCAGATAGCTTCCGTGGAAATTATGGTTCCATCCAGGGTTGAGAACCAGACATCTGTTTAACATGCATTCTAGAATTATATTTTATTGAGGGTGAGAGAATCATGGAGCATATATATGGCACCCACTATGATCTTCTGTGTGTTCTCATATGCTGTTTCATTTTATCTTACCAACAACCCAAGACAAGAATTTTTATGTCTATCAGACTGCTCCAGGTTGAGTTACAATGGATCATATGAAGATCTGTATATATCCCTGATTTATATCATCTCAGCCTCTACAGCACACATTCTTCACATATTATTCCATACATTGTCTATGTCTTTATCCTTTGCTTTTGTGCATAAGCATACACATGCACATGAACACACACACTCAATTTATAAATACCTTGATCTCGATATATCTTCCTAATTACCCATCAAGTTGGGCTTCTTGGATGGTTGTTTTGCATAGTTTGCCTCCTGTTCCCTTTGACAGCTTCAGACTTTCACCAATTACATAATTTTTATATTTTGCACATTTTTGATGTGCTAATTTGGTATGCTGTGTCTGGCCAATCCAGACTATTGTAGTATAACCAATGGGTTTTATTTAAAAGTCCTTTTCTTTCTGAATGTATTTTCATTCTCACCCTTCAAGTACCAGCTTCATCTTGTCTGGGAGAAGTCTTTTCAGGACTATATTCCTCAAAATTGAAATGAACCTCTGTCTCAACTCTGATGGATAATAAATAGCCTTGTATTAGATTAAAATGTGCCTAATTTGGGATGAGCTTGATGTATGGAATAGAATGTATGTATTGGGCCCTATACTGTTTCAGCAGTAAACTGTATTTATGATTTCATATCAGGTTGTAGAAACACTTCCCTTCATGTTTTGGGGTAGCAGGAGCTCTTTCTCCAGATGGTGAAGACTCAGCCCAGAATGAGCTGTAGTTTGTCAGACTTGGCTAGGAACTTGATCTTAGTATAGTCAGGCTAAGAAAAGTGGGAATTCTGTGAGTAAGGAGCCAGTGGGATCTGATTGTCTTCTCTAAGTTCATGTTTCTTTACTGGGAGAGATGTTGTCCATCCAAACAGGAATGGCTATCTTATCTTTTACCAACACAATGAAATATTCTGATGCCAGGGACTTTCCTCTTCCTGAATCATTGGGGAAGAGAGGGAAGGAGCAACCAGACCTTAAGAGATTTTCTTATCATAAATACTGAATAGCTGAATGGAAAGATTCTCTTCTTCTTCATTCTCTCTTTTCCCTTCTGATACCTCTAGCCAATGATAAAGTCTGAAAATGGTCTCATTTTGTTCAATGCACCTAACGTTGGACTTTGAAGATTTTTTTTTAAGCATTGATTTACTTTTTAATCTCATTGGGGAAGAAAAGATCTTTAGATGATGAGAATAAGGCCTCCAGAGGATAAGCAAGGAAGCTGAAAATGGCCCCAAAGGTGTACAGTTACTCTGGTCTTCCATAGGTTGTAGAAGCTGGACTGGAGTTGGGACAGCTATGGGTCACTGTGTGGAGAAGCAGGACAACAGGGGAACAGAGTAGTTTTTTAGTGTTCACATTCTGCATTTTTGTCCATCAGGTGGAACTTTGTTTATGTTCACCCAAGTATTACTGAATATTCACCATATAACAGATGTTCTTGGGGGATGGAGGGAGAATTGTATAGTGTTGAACAAAACAAAGCCTGTTCTGTTATAGAGCTTTGTGTTTTTATGGGACACAGAGTCAGTGAATGAAGTACATTTCCATAAATGAAAAGCATATTTCAGATAGAATCAGTGTGGCAAAGATAACACCAACATGGGGTATAGTAAACAGGGAAAAAGAAAGAACATTCCCAGCAGAGGGAATAGCACCCACAGAGGTCCTGAGGCACGAATGGATTTGGAGTACTTGAGAAATGGAAGGCTAATGTGAAAAGAAAGTGGTTGGATTACTTGAAGAAGACTGCAAAGGGCAGAGTGAAAAGAGGTGTAGTCAGTGAGATAGGAGGGAGGCAGACTTTGTGGAGCTTTCAAATTTGGAAAGGAGTTTGAATTGTATTCTAATTGGAATGGGATGTTAGTAGACATATTTAATTAAGGACTGACTCAGTGGGCAGTGGGCTTCACGCACACACTTTCACTCTTGGTTGGCCTTTCTTCTCCTTGTTCATTAGTCATCACTGATTTCCTCTCTTACCTAGGCCTGGACAACTAAGGGGCAGGGCTCCGAGAACCCTATACAATATTCCTTATATCTTCTGAAATATCTCATATACTCGCTTGATTTCACCTTCATGCATAGAATGCTACAATACTAGCTCTGTATCCCAATCACTCTCCAGACTGAATATTGAGTCTCTCCACGGTCTTGGAATTGACTGATAACATCTGAAACTAGATACCCCAAATTAATTATCTCATCCAATCAAATCACAGTATCCATTGACAAGACAATACTGGTACAAGAGGCAATATTCCAAATAATGCAAAAGGCCTTGCCTTACAATTTCTGAGTTCTTAACTCTTCCCCCGCCCCTGGGCTCCTGGGCAGCCTGTCAGTAAAGACTCGTGCTCTGTGTAGAACACTGTCAGTGGAAATGTATAGAACTCTTTCAGTATTTGTCATGGGATTATATATGCCTGAGAATTTCATTTCTACTCATTTAATATATGATCTTGGCATTCTTCAAGTGGCACAAACTTACCTGAAATTAATTATTTCTGATAAGCCAGGAATACTAATTTATCATAAATGAACAGAAGTTCTAACATTTAATCAATTACCCATTGATTCCAGGATGTTTAGCCATCACTATTATAAAAACTTTCTTTTTCGTTTTCTTTTGTTTCTTAAATTAGTGTAACTTAATTCACTTTTGGCTTTCCATTTTCTTTTGATTGATTCTAGAACATATTTCTGTGTGAGAGGACAACTGTGGTGTTTTCTAATGTTTACCTCTATGTCCTCTTTACCTGACATGGTATTCAGCATATTCCATATTTAGCAAATATTTATCTGATAACTCAATGTCCACTTACTGATTTACAATGTTAATTTATTAGCTCTATTTTAACTTTGTTATAACGATCATCATTCATCTGTATAATTATTATGATTATCAGTTTCTCATCTCAAAATGTTACCCATTTGGAGAAAACAAGTTCAACCTATGGTTTTGTATATATAAGGGAAAAAGTTTTGTTCTTTCTGAAAAAAAAATATAGTTTACAAAGAAAATAAATAAGGGTTGTGGCTCAAGGGAAGAGCACTTGCCTCACACATATGTGGCACTGGGTTCGATCCTCAGCACCACATCAAAATAAATAAACAAAATAAAGATATTGTGGCCACGTATAACTAAAAAATGTTTTTAAAAAGAAGATATGCTCTGTAAATGTCAGTGAATGGATAGTCTCGAATTTTTTCATGCTCAGTAAATTTTCAGCATAGTCTCATAATTTCTAAGTTATGTTATGTTTCTCAGTTATTTCAGTGGTTGAGTTATTTCAATTTGGGTTGAGTTAATCAAGATTGTGGCTACATTGCTGAGGAAATAAATGTGCCAAGAATGTTTATAACAAATCATTTTCCTCTTTAATAGTATAACATTTTATGTCCACAATTTTTTTTACATTTAATTTTAAGCACTTTATAAGTCTGAGATTTCATTGCTTAAGTTCCCACTGCTTATTATGATATTTTAAGATTTCTATTAGGTGTCACTTAACTTAGTGTGAGACACAGATGCCCTGGGGGACAAAAAGTTCTCATCAGGGTGGCAGAGCTGTAGGAGTCCAGAGAAGTTTATAGTAGAGGGAAGAGAATTTCTCCCAGTGATCTTTAAAGTTTTCTGCCCACTCCTGTAGTGAACTTTGTTTTAACTCTCCCATTTGACCCTGAAGCCATGGCAGGCTTCCCAGGGGTTTAGCTTGGGCTTTCCTCTGAGGATTAGGGGTTTACTCCTTCCATCTCACACCCTCCCATCCAAGCCAGACTATAAACTTTGTTCCATTTCCAAATTCATAGCCTATCACCACATGACTCTGAGTAAGTTGCTTAATTCTTCAAACCTCACCTTCCTTATCTTATGTGAAATAATGTCCACACCTTATTATGCTGACCAAAGTTATTATGATGATTAGGTTGATGATTAAAAAATAATGGTGAGGGGCTGGGGTTGTGGCTTAGTGGTAGAGTGTTCTCTTAGCATGTGCAAGGTGCTGGGTTTGATCCTCAGCACCAAATAAAAATAAATAAATGAAATAAAGGTATAATTTTTTTAAAAAAGCAATGATGATTATTAAAAAGAAGTGATGATTGAAAGAAAAAATTGTTCAGCATAGTTTCTGCCAAATATCAAATGTATAATCAATGTTATCTGCCATTATTATCATTGCAGCTCTATATTATATCTGTCACAACTCCGTTCTTCCTCAAATAGTTAAAGATTAATTTCCCCCAGAAAGCCTTTCTGGCTGATCTTATATAACTCTAAATTTTTTCTCACGTTTTCTTTTAGCACCTTACTTTGCTTTGGATTGTATTACAACTACGTGTGTTATTCTATTTCTTTGGATTTTTCTTCAGTAAATAACAACAAATTTGGGGGCATCCATCATGGGCATCATAGGGATCCGTGGATACACAGTAGGGATGCAAAGTGTGTGTACATGTACATGCTTTCAGTGGATCTGGGGGGAAATCTGTTGGTTCAATGGAACTATGGATTTTTCAGAATAAACTAAATGAATAAAAACTTTGCTCTCCAGATGCCTATTGAAAAATTAAATGTCTTTTAGTCTGAGGTTTTTGTATGGTTTAAAAATATGATGGTTACAGTTATGTCTGTTGTTGAGTCAAGCTTTATATATGCTTCCTTCTCAGACTCTCCTCTGTTCTTACTCAAATGCATTGTAGAAGTAGACAGGAAAAATGCTCCGTGAAGAATTGGAGGTTAGTGGGAGAAAGCAGGGTAGGACCGCATTCCAGGCAGCAGGAGCAACATGATCCAGGGTGCTGAGTTTTGAGGAGGATGGAGAACTGCTCCAAGTTTTGTGTTATTAAAGCATGATGTTTAGTCAAGTGCTTTAGGAAATGAGTCAGGAGAGGTCACAGGAGCCAGTTTGATCAGACTTCAGGTCTGTGGTCTGTATATTTGTATTTCCCTACAAAACTATGTACTTAGGCAAGTGGGTCTATGTAGACAGTTTTAAATAGTCAAATTCTGCATGTTGATTCTAAAAGTGGATTTGTATTTTTCATATGGCATGCAATACATCTCTTTTAATGGCTGTTCTCACAAGAAAATGATTAAAAAAAAACATTAACTATCTAGTTGATAATTAGAGCTCTCATTGAGTTTCAAGGAGTTTAGACTCGGGCCTTATTTGCATTTTCTGAGGCATGGGAGTCTAAATGAAATTTGATAGTTTAAATGGGCTTCCACAGGATGGAGACATCTGATGAGAACAGTCAGGGAATCACTACAAATTTATGACTTTGAAACTTTCAGTACCTCCTTTCAGTACCTCTTCTATTTACAACTGGGTTTCGTACAACTACAAGTTTCATAACTTATATGTACATTTTGATCAATGCTTGATTTGTATCTATTGCCATTGCTGCTAATTTGTCTTCCTTTGTCTTACCTATTCCTTGATTTATCAGTTATTCAGTTTATATAATATCTAATGTTAAACATCTGCATTATTTTTAACTCTAGAAAACCTTTTGCCTTTACTCCCAAAATATGATATGATTTCTACAAAGTCTGGTATTGCCCAGTAGTTGGTGGGTTTTTGTTTGTTCATTTGTTTTTTTCAGTATTGGATGTTGAATTCATGGACTGAGTTACATCACTAGTCCTTTTTAAAAAATTTATTTATTTATTTATTTATATTTTGAGGCAGGATCTTGCTAATTTACTGAGACTGGGCTCAACCTGAAATGCTCTTGCCTCAGCCTCTTGAGCAGCTAGGCTTACAGGCATGTGCCATCATGCCCAGCTGCCCAGCAACTTTTTACTCTTGTCTTTTGTTGGTGATTTCTCTTCCTTAGAAATTAAGCAACAGGACTCAACAGACCCTAACCATAAGAGCTTAAAGTTCCCCAGGAGGAATTAGATGTGGTTAAAAGAGAAGAAGAGAGAAAACACTGGAACTTACTTGAACTGTAGTTAACCTGAAAATGGAATGTTGGGGAGAAGTGGCTAGGAGAACCCAGAGCAAAGCAGAATGCCTCAGCATATTTCTAGCACTACAGAATGTGTCTTCGTTCGGGGCCTGTGCTTATCAAACAATTTTTTAATTATCTCCTGTGAATTTGCCTTTAGGAGTCATCAATTTGCTGATTCAAATATATAGCCTCCTTCCTTCGCCCTTACCTCCTTGTTCTTCTAAGTGAATTACTGTGGCATTTCCAGTTACACACCAGCCTCTAGGAGTGCGCGTCTCTTGATTGGTAAGTTTACTTGACCCAAACAAGCATCTGAATCAACAGGGTGGAGCTGCTCGCTCTCAACTGTGTGACTCCGCCCAGATAAGGCCTCTCTCTAAGGTTCTACCTAGGCTGCCAGGATCCCTTATCTTTTCTAATATTTAATAGAGTTTTGTGGAACTATATCAGATGTAGGAGTACACAAATCCTGTGAATATGCCAATAAATTTCCTCACAGTAAACATATCCAGATAAGCTGCCTCCCTGTGAAGAAACAGAATGTTTCCAAACCTCTAGGAGGGCACCATATGCTCAGGCTCAGTCACTGTTACTCTTCTCAGATGTAACTACTATTCTGACTTTCACTATCATATGGTTAGATTTGGGGTGTTCATTTCCCTTTAACTTTTATTATGGGCTCCCAGACATTCTGAATGCCTGCAGAACATCAGGGTCCTTTTTGCTGAGCGTGAGGACTGGGTATGCCTAGGAGGATATTAAAGGTTCATTTGTGTCACCCCTAAAATGAGAGATTAAAGCCTGATCACTCAGCATTAAGAAAGTGACCTTATTTGGAAATAGGGTTATGTCATATGTAATTAAGTTAAAATAAGGTCATACTGTAGTTGGGTAGGCCCCTTATTTAATGTGACTGGGGTCCATGTGAAGACAGAGACACAGGGAGAGCACCATGGAAAGATTGAAGTGATACACCTACAAACCAGGGAATGCTCAAGATTGCTAGCAAACTACCCAAAACTCGTATGGGGCAAGGACGGATTTTCCCCTACAGTGTTCAGAGGGAGGATCATCCTCCCAAACCCCTCGATTTCAGACTTCTAGTCTCCAGAACTCAGAGACAATGTATTTCAGTTGATTTAAGCCACCTAGTTTGTGGTGTTTTGTTCTGGTAGCCCCATGAACACAGAACATCTTCCAGGTTGGGTGCTCTGACCCTGTTCTTTGCATTCCCAGAAACATACATGGCCTGGGACCTGGGGCCTAGGACCACCAGACTGAGAAGTGGTTACACTGTGTCTAAGCTGCTTTTCTCTGAACTGATATACAGACTACTTCTCTTACCCCTGATTGCTGCTGTCTGTGATGTGTCTCATAGAAATACAGGAGTTTCAGTAGCCCTGTGTGGCTTTTTCTTCATTTCTCCATTCAGCTTTTCACTAGCACTTTTAGACAAAGCCTCTTTGGTTTCCTGAGGTGCTCCAGGCTGAGCTTTGTACATCAGCCCTTCTACGCCTCATCTGGATCTTTCCCAAAGTGTCCTTCCCTATCCTCACAGACTCACACTGGGGTCATGTCCCTCATGCAGTTTCCCCTAGTTTCTCTGTTTCAGAATCATCATTAACAAAATAAACAAATAAAGCAGCTCACTGTATTTCTAAAATGAAATTCCTCGAACAGGTTGGCATGTTTTAAAAGAAGACTTCATTTTTCTGCCCTTATGCATATCATTTGAGATAATAAAAAATTCCTTAGATAAAAGAGCAGTCCAACCATTAGATTTTCATTAGTAATAAAGAACTAGGCAGAGCTTATTAGGCCCCCGGATATACTTTCTTTAGCAAAGGTTGGTTTCAAACCGCATTACAACTTTTCTATTTTTTTTTTTAATTTGTTGCTCAGTTTCTGGCATTAGGGAAATCACACAAAAGGTACTGTAATGAAATCCCCAGGGTGATTCCATGGGGCTCTGGCCAATTCCTGCATTTGGTGTTCCTGTCCTCCCTTGGGGATCTGGGGACTCTGCTGGAGTCATTTATTTTAAATGCTCTTAGCACAGACTGTCCTTTAGTCTCTGACTTCCCCAACCTGGAGTGATTACAGAGTAGATGTGCACTCCCCAACTTCCTCTTCCCTTTTGTGAAGAAGCCAGCAATTATTACTCATCACTATGGGAAAGTTTTCTAGTCATTAAAAAAAAAAATCACAAACTTAGGAACATTTCAGAAGTTGAACTTATGTCAGTTTTGGTTTCTGAACTATATGCCATTCTTTATTCTCTTGTTAGGACCCTGTCAGCTGGTGGATCTTTGGAGAAGGAGTTTTAATTTTGCATAATTGACAAAATTAAAATAGTGCTCTTTCAACCTATGGTTAAGAGGTTAAGGGTGTTTATCTTATGTTTGTATGTTTAAATGTGTACTACATGGACTTAGCTTTAAAACTCTGAACTCAGTCCTTGCATCCTATAATTCCATGGTCCATGAATAGATGGATAGTAAATATACCAGATGGATTCCTGGATAGGTGGGAGCTGCTCTCTCTGCCTGGACTATTTTCTATAAAAAGTGTGGGATGAATTTTGGAGCCATTCAGGATTGCCTCCTGAATCTTGGGAGAATTTTCCTTAGCCCACAAGGATTGCTGGGGTCTGAACTAGGAAACTTCTAGTTGGCTTGCCCATGGAATGTGCTTAAATGTTTTCTAGTTGTTTGTGAAAAAGGTACCAGATAGTTGGACTCCATGCGACACCCCCAAGGTGTGCTGGTGTTAACTTCTTTCCTTGGCAGCCCAGATTTCTTTTTCTATTTACCCTCTTAGGAATGGTATATACTTCGTTGGAAATTGACTAGAAGAGACTTTTCTTTCTCTTCAATTTTGTTTTTATTTTTTTTATTTTTGTATATTCATGACTGGATTATTTCAAAGTGTGAAGAATACAGTCATTAGTAAAATGATTACCCATATCTCAAAATATCTACCTTTTGAGATTTTCTCAAATTCTTCTTTATAGAAGATAATATTAAAAGTATAGGACTCCTGTAAATGAATCTTCACATACATGTAGCCCTGCCTCTAGTTTACATTTGATAATAAACCTTCATACAATGTCCTTGAGCTAAAAATTGCCGTTAATGTGAACAGATCATTGTTTATAGTTACAGCATTTATAGGTCTAACCACTTCAATATCCCACAAGAGGCATTTTATTGTTTAGTTTAATTGTTTACTTTTTAGAACATTGTCTCTTGTGCGTAGTAGGCACTTTACATTCTTCGATTCTCAAAAAGTTTGGTAACTTTTCTGTGAAGTTGTACCTTGGATTATTTTCTGGTCAAAACAGAAGACAAAGTATTCCAGAGAAACATTTGCTGTGTTTGTCTATAACAGGCTGATTGTTCTGCGCAGCCAGTGCTTATCATGAAGAGACAGTAGCTGTAGAAAGACTATTTTCTGTACTTACTTTCTCTTCATTATATTTTGTTTCAACAGGAATGCTTGTCAGCTTTTCATCCTGTGACAAAATACCTGACAAGAATACCTTAGTGGAGGAAAAACATTATTTTGGCTCAAGGTTTCAGAAGATTCAGTCCATGG